TCCTTTTAACTTTCTTATATCATCTGTCAGTTTCTCCATCAGCCATATGTCCCAGGTTTTCCTCCATCAATTTTCTATTAAAAGTTCTATTGGTATGGCTTTTAAGGTGGGTTTTAGGAGGCATTTGTGATTGTGGCAATGATACTACAATATTAAATATGAATAGTAAATTTACAAGATCCCCTGTCTAGCTTATGATTTTGTAAATACTGAACAGGATGCCAGCCAATATGTTTAGCAACATCCAATTCTAGACATTCATGGACTGCAGCTCCCATAGACCCTGGCAATGGACAATGCTGGCCAGGGCTGATGGGAATCACAGTCCAAAAACATCTTGTTCCCCACCCTCAGTCTACAGTGAATGGAAATAATCTCACCCAAACCTAACTAGAGAGGTCAGAAATTGAACTCGAAACCTTCTGTATGGAAAACATGTTCTGTAGCACAGAGCTGTAGGCCTTCCCTATTCATTGCATGCAGTGCCATAATCATAAGCTGTGGCTTGTTTCTTTGGGGATAATTGAAATTACCCTACAAACTGATGTAGTTTCTAATATGTGCTGGTACAGATTTGACTCTCTATGTTTGTTCTCATCACACTATCCCCTATGGGAAAGGTTTGCTGTCCCTCAAAATTGACCGCTTTTGATTAAATTTAAGCTTGCCTTCCAGCTGTAACTCTTTCAGGCTAACCATCCCTAATCAGTTTGGACAGGAACCATCTGTTAAACCCCCTGGTTACAGAGAAAATGCTAAAATCAAAGCACTAAGACCCAGTAGCAACGTTGCCTGTGAAGCGTTCTGTGAGGGCATAACACTCCACCATGATAGCTCATTCCCCAAATGCTGGTTCAAAAGGACAGTGCAGTACCCAACCACAAATCCAAAGATGGGTTTTAAGGGATCTGTGTTCTCTTTTGCACTCTCTCTCTTTTAAACCTGAGCTGTGAATGTGGAACTCTCTAAGCTGTTTATCTAACTTCTCCACCTAAACAAATGATAATAAAATTGACATCTTTCTTAGCCTCCAGAAGCTTAAGAAAACAGGCATTATTTGCTTTGAGAAAGGGCCTTTGCAGACTGCCAGAAATAATGCAAATTGAGTCCACTTTAAGGGTTAGGGTTAGTGCTAGGGAATCATGGGAATTGTCCCCCCCCCCAAGACATTGAGCCTTCTCTGTCAGAGAGCTCTGGTTCCACTATAAAATACAGTTCCCATGATTCCCTAACCCTAACCCTTAAAGTGGACTCAATTTGCACTATTTCTGGCAGTCTGCAATGGCCCAAAGATACAGAGGGTTGGTGGATCTGTACTTTGAAGTGTGTAAAATGCTGGTATTACAGAAGGAAACAGAAAATTTGGTTATATTTTCAGGGCTGGAAAAGATACCTTGAGTATCAGAAGCTGGTAGCCTCCAACTGTCCCAATTTGGCAAAGACAATCCTGATTGATCCACTGTCATCCCACTTTTCAGATTTTTTTAATGCCCCAGTTTCTCTCTCCTCCTCCTCCTTACCCTTTTATCCCCTGTTTATTTCAATTACTGCAAATGAGTTCAAAGTGCAAAAGTAGTCTGCACTCAGTTACTCTTGCAGTTCTTTGCTGCAGCCCTCCCTAGTTTGTGTGTTCTTCCGCATTAATAATGAATGCTTGTCATCTTGGCCATGCTTGAATGTTGATTGGCCACACACATTTTCATCTGTGAAATGTTGGAGGGTCTGGTAGTAATCTCAGACAGTTTCAGAATCAGCTCTCCTGAATACTGTTCTGTCTGTCTAGCAGTGTGTTGCTTTTCTTCCATAGAGCTAGGACTGGCCAAATTAATCTTGCTGCCTGAAGCAAAGAGCAAGATGATTCTTGTCTTCTGGAATTGGATATAGTCCCATGGGTTCTTCCAGTGCTGGACACTGACACACTTTATTGTTGTAGCATAAACTACGCATATTGATGGCAAATGATGCAGTAAATGGCACATAGCAGAAAGCATTCCAGCCCTTTTGCTGATAGGGTCCACTACGTCTCAACTCACAGCCAATGGTAGAATTGTGCTCCAAACAAATTTGATTTGATTGCCTTTGGCTGGCAATCAAATCAAATCCCCACTGCTGGACATAAGAATGATAGAAGATAAGGCTTCCCAGGTTTATATAGCAAAGAGGCAAACAAAGAAATCCAAAGTGTGCAATTGTGACCCATTTCCTCTCAATAGGTATGAGAACTGTACAAGTAGGTTAGCAACAGAAAAAAAAAACTCCTCACCTTGGTTCTCAGCCTTCATATGTTTTCCCAGCCTAAAATTGTGAATTCCAAAAGTATGCAACAAGCTCACTAATACAAGTTAACTCCTTCATATCACTGGACAATTATTAACATTTGGCCATGATGCAAATAAGGACTCTAAAATCCATGTGCCTAGTAGGAAAGGCCCAATTCACTACAGTGCTCTTGTTCATTTTGTAGAAGATGACTGAACTAGGAGTAAACCTTCTGTTCAAGTGTAGAATTCCCTTCCTTTCCAAGGTCAAAGTAGTCTTTCTTATTCTGAATCAGTTCCTGTATGTTTGCGTGCTTCTGTTCTAAATAAAACATCTTATTTACTTCAAACTGGGGTATTTTACAGTGAGTGCTGGTACAAACAGGTGTAAAAAAATTCTAGTAAGTTACCCACCTCTCCTATGCCTCCTTTTGACCTAATTAATTCCCCAACATTCAAAGGAGACACTGACACTGCTGGCAGGGACCCCAAGTCCCCCCACTTTTTCAGGTAACACCAGGAACACATCTATTTCATTAACAGTAGTATACTTGTATCAGAAGCAGCTTTACACACAAATGTTTTCAATTAACATTATTCATTAATTTCTTCTGAAACACAGGACATCTAACTTTAAAGCAAGGATGGTGCAGGACTCATGCTGCCCTCCCCAAGTTGTTGAGTTGGACTCCCATCAGCCCTAGCCAGCAAAGCCAATGGTGAGGAATGCTGGGGGTTACAATCCAATCACCTCGGATTCTCAGTCCTGATTTAGAGAAACAAAACTTTGCTGAAAAGGTCCCAGATTATTCTTGACACAAACCCCACACTGTTCCTTCTATCGTCTTCCCCAAACTGAAAGCATTCTTTCCCTCACAAAAAACCTTCATCATGCCCCTTTAAAGATACAGCACACAACAATTTCAAAATGAAACAGTCTAAGGCTACATCTGCACTGCAGAAATAATGTTGTTTGATACTGCTTTAACTGCCATGGCTCAATGCTTGAACTTGTAATTTTGTAAGATATTTAGCCTTCTCTATCAGAGAGCTCTGGTTCCACAACAAACTACAAATCCCAGGCTTCCATTGCATTGAACTATGGCAGTTAAAGCATTGTCAACCTGCATTATTTCAGCAATGCAATTGCAGCCTAAAGCCCAGTTATGGAGCAGTGTATGAAACAGAACTTGGAAATGGAAGTTATGGAGTGCTGTATAATAATAATAATAATAATAATAATAATAATAATAATAATAATAATAATTTATATCCCACCCCTCTGCAGTGCAATTGGGGCGGCTTACAACATTACAATTTCCATGAAATGAAACAGAGCTTGGACTAGAGCTCCCATGCTCGCCATTCTGGGAGTTGTAGTTTACAGACAATAACAATTCCCAGCTGAGAAAAAAAGTAATGTCAAGATTGGGCCATGTGGTAAACATTTAACATTTATACAGATCCTAAAACAAATGTCACCTGCAAGGTGGGAAAACGAGTACAGTATATTTCAAGAATGCCAAGGGTTCTACTGCATTTCCATCACTGAGTATTACAGAGTACTTGACTAAATTATGCTCATATTATCTGGCATAAGTTGCATATCCAGGCCTGCAGTCAGATTTCAAAGCAGGGAGGCAGATGGGTTACGTAAATATGAAAAAATCTAATGCAACAGCTCTGCAGAGAAGAGTAGACAGAATTCCCCCCTAGTGCTTTTGGAATTAATGTAGCAATGACAAATACTTAGTATTTCAAACTGCACAGAAGGGGAAAAAAGAAGCACCGAGGATGAAAGCAAGCAAAGGCTGGTTTAATAGGGGCACGTGGATTCTTAAGTCTGCTTCATTTGTATTTTAGGCAAATTATCTAGCTCTATGGAAACATTCATCAATGAAACATTACTGAGAAGGGAGACATTATGGCAACAATACACAAATAGCCTGTTTTTTGGGACATGGGATCAGTAATCAAACATGAAGCACAAACTTTACATCTATTGACCCAATCCAATAAATTGAAGAACTGACCCAAAGCTGCACATATGTGCATATGTAAGTAGTTCAGGTATGGATGTTCTACTAGATAGCAACCATAAATGCTCCCACTCCCACAAATACTCAGAAAACCTCAGTGTTTGCTTGCTTGCTTCTTTTGTTGACATTTCCCCCTATAAGCATGCCCAGGTTTTGAAATTCTCAAGCTAGACCCATCTTTCTAACTCACCATTCTTGGATGCTTGCTTAGCAGGGCACAAGAGAAAGCCTTCTCGGTGCATGTTCCCAGGTTCTGGCCCTCTCTCATTTCCTATTGTGCTTCTACCACCAGTCAAGCATATTTTATACAGTCAAGCATATTTCTAATTCAATAGTGTTTTAACATTCTCATTTGTTTAACCCAGTGATTCCCAAACGCTGGCCTTCTAGGCTTCTGGACGTCACCTCCCAGAATCCCAGACCATTGGCCAACATGACTGAGGCTTCAAGGTGCTGCAGTCCAAAACACATGGAGGATGTGAGTTTGGGAATCACTGGTATAATTGATAGTTTAATGATTTTAACATGATAGCTTTTGCATTTTTAACTGTTGTGTGCCTTCAAGTCATTTCCAACATATGGTGATCCTAAGGCAAACCTATCATGGGATTTTCTTGCCAAGATTTGTTCAGAGGAGGTTTGCCATTGCCTTTCCCTGAGGCTGAAAGAGGGCAAGTTGTCCAAGGTCACCCAGTGGGTTTCATGGCCAACCTGGGAATCGAACCCTGGTCTCCAGAGTCACAGTCCAACATACAAGCCACTATGCCACAGATGGTTTAATCTCACTGTGAGCAGTTTTTGAGTTCCAGTTTGGGGAGAAAGGTCGGAGTAGAAACACAAACACACGCGCACACAACCCCTTTGTTATAGGCCTTTGGTCTTTTGTGGGAAATCAGGGGTCATTCAGACATCAGTTTTTTAACGCAATGATGCAAATCATCCCACTCATGCATTCCAAGTTTGTTATTCACACTATGGAACCACATCGATGCGTAGCTGCAATTTCGATTGCTCACATGTGCAAGCATTTGAATAAATATGGAGTCAATGATGCGAATGCATTTAGAACCACTTTTTGGGTATGCAGTGTTTTATCCTGGGCCTATTTGCATTGGTTATTCACACTACTGACAATGCAGATCTTTTAAAAAAAAACTCAGAGGAAAACCTGATATATATAGATTATCCTGGATCAAGTGGGATTTTTGGCAGTCCCCCAAAAAAACTTAATCAGGTGCATTTGAGATGTGTGTGAACAATGAAGATTTAACCCGGATTCATCTTGGACTATTTTCACAGTGTGAATAACCCCTATGCTTATTCCCATGCCTCCAGCTGGCACATCCAGCACCCTGCTCCTCTCCAAACCTCTGAACATTGGACCACACATGGAAGGACAATTTGTTGGCATCAGGGAGGCTTATGATATCCTTGAGATGCCCTCACAGGCATTATGAGTTCCTTGTGCACCCATCTACGTATAGAATTCCCTGCACTTGCATATAATCCTTCTACAACCCCAGTCAACACTTCAACTGTCTAGGGATAATAGGAATTGTAGTCAGTCACATATGGAGGGTGGTAGAAAGGGAGGCTGGACAGTCCAATGTCAAAGTGGACAGTGACATGTCCTGTGAAATGTACTTTTATATGTTGTCTTTGTTTTTACTAGACATCTAAGATAAACATCTGGATCCTGATGAAATAGGCCTATAGCCTTCCCTCCCATATTTCTAGACAGAAATAAGTCTTAACAAAAAACAAAAAAATAAAATAAAAATAAAATTGGAGCCTTTATGATCCCATGTCTCTCCCCTCTTTCTGGTAACATCTGCAAAACATATGATGTAACCATGTCATTGCTCTGTATGTTTCTCCCTTGCTCACCATCCCTTCACCACCAACAGTCAATTAACAGAGGCAAGGAAATGCATAAGGCAATAGCATCATCACATCTTACACTGTGGGCCTAAGCAGACTGCCAGAAATAGTGCACATTAAATTGAAGCACTGCCCTGGCTCAGTGCTAGGGAATCATGGGAACTGTAATTTATTGTGGCACCAGAGCTCTCTGACAGAGAAGGCTCAATGTCTCAGAAAATAATACAATTTCCATGACTCCCTAGCACTGAGCCAGGGCAGTGCCTCAATTTAATGTGCACTGTTTCTGGCAGTCTGCTTAGGCCTGTGTTGTTCTCCAGATTATCAGTGAGAAGGGGGAGAGGCATGAAGACAGTCACCTCCCGTATGTCTAACTTCCTTTGGATGTGGGAAAATCTAGTAAGTTTAGAGAAAGGCCATCAATATATACTGTCCAGTCATTTATGGGTTCATTGACATCTGTGAGAAAATGCACAATGAGAGAGAAGGTTTTCTCTCTCTCTCTCTCTCTCTCTCTCACACACACACACTCACACACACAGAGGAAATTGTCATCTTGTGGTGCCTGACTGCTTTTTCTTCATGGTTGACAGAGCATGTGATGGTGTAGTGAACTGACAAGAGAAGAGTACATGCGAAATTAATTACTTCTAATGAGCAGCACAGCCGTCTTTGTGGAAAAAAGATTCTGCAGCTTGGTCATAAAATGAGAGATATTTCAGCCCTGAGTTTTTCTGAATTTGATCCTCCACAAAATCTATCCAGATTCACTTTTATCCCTCTCTCTCTTTCTTTCTCTCTCTCTGTCACACATATACATATATTTGTAATGTTAAAGAATTTTATCCAGCTGATTACCTAAAAAGTCAACAGTCCAGATTTGACAGTATCCCAAAATCCTACTGAAATTCGCTATTGCTATATAGATGCTTTTGTTTTCTTTTTAGATTTAGCTTCCTGATTTATATGAATTAAGCAGATCTCCTCTGTGTTCCTTAACTCTCACACTGCAGTGTAAATCAACAGTAATCTAAGACTTTGGTGGATCAGATTAGCAGTTCTTTTACCCCAGCATCCTGTCTTTGGCAGCAAACACTTATGAATTCATTGAAGGAAATAGAAAACATCCCAGAATATGAAATACTCCATTATGCTGTATTGTACCTTTTAATCACTAGTGGGCATTACTCCTTTTCATTTTCATGAGTTTCTTCCAGTTTTTCCCCCCTTTGTCCTGACATTAGAGATGAATAGCAAATTTTGCTCCCTATTTTAGTTTTTTGCTTTCCACTAAACTCAGAAATACTATTCTGAGTTCTGAAGAATGTTGTATGGAATTTCTATGACCAGATTTACAGCCATATTTACTTTCATTTAAAAACAGTCAGTGTGTGTGTGTGTGTGTTGTGTTTGAGGGACTGGGTAGCAAGAGAACTGTTGTGGGACAAAGTAGTTAAATGTAGCCTTCTTCAGCCTAGTGTTCTTCACGTGTGTTAAACTACAACTTTCATCATCCTCAACCAGCACCTTCCTTAGACATATTGGGTGGGAATGATGAAAGATTAAATGGAAACTTAAACAGTACAAAGAATCAGGAAAAAAGAAGCTGTGTCCCCTTGTTGCTCTTGGCTCCCTTCTTCCTCATTTTCAAACCTCCAATGTGAGGTAGGGTCCTATCACTCTACACTGTTACAGCGCTATTATTCCACTTTAACTGCTATGGATGCATCCTGTGAAATTGTAGTCTGGCGAGGCACTACAGCACTCTGTGCAAATTCCGAATGCCACTCACTAAATTGCAAATCCCAGGATTACATACAAAGTTGCCATGGCAGGTAAAGTGGAATAATCATCCTAGAATAGTATAGTGTGATAGAACTGAAATGAATGCACCTGCCAGCAATTTAGCCCTGCCCTGCTTTCCCCTGGCTCTTCTCTTCTCTGTGCTCTCACATACTATTTCCTGCATCTGGAGAGCTGACACTCTCTTCTCCCTTCTCAGTAACAGCTGGAGCCTGGAGGGAAGGGCATGAAAAAAAGCACTTTTTTCAGGTGGCAGTTGTGTTGCTAATGACGGAGATACTGGTAGGAGGTCATCCATGAGGGTGCCACCATGAGTTAGTGCATTGGGTGACACCAATCTTAGTCATGATTCCGTGCCATGATTCCATTACAGACACAATGGCCTGTTGTCAGTCTTAACAAGAATTTACCACATTTGTTGATTTTGTTGTTGTTGTTAGCTGCTCTAGAGTTGGCCCCAAATCATGGCAACCCTATGGATGAGACATCCCTGAGATCCTCAACTGCTTTGCTCAGGTCCTGCAAATTCATCCCTGTGGTTGAGTCTATTCACCTGGCACCTTATCTTCCTTTCTTTCTGCTACCCTCTACCTTCTCTCTATATTATTGTCTTTTCTAGTGAGTCATGCCTTCTCATGATGTGATCAAAGTATGACAGCCTCAGTTTTGTCATTTTCACTTCCAGGGAGAATTCAGGCTTCATCTGTTCCAAAACCCACTTGTTTATCTTTTTGGCCATCCATGGTATCCTAAGCACTCTTCTCCAGCACCACATCTCAAATGAGTTGATTTATCTCCCTATCAGCTTTCTTAACTGTCCAGTTCTCTTATCTGTACATGGTAGTGGGAAATACGATGGCTAGAATGATTTTAACTTTAGTACTCAGTTGTATATCTTTACTCTTCAGGATCTTGTCTATTTCTTTCATGGCAGTCCTCCCCAATCCCAGTCTTCTTCAGACTTCTTGATGGTAATCTCCGTTGTTATCAATGTTTGATCCATTCAATAATTGATTCAACTCTGGCTGGAACTCACCCAGAGGATACAGGCCTATGTTCAATCCCCTGCAATTCAATGCCTGATGTCAATGTCTTTGCATTTTTGGAGAAGCTGATATGCCCCTGTCTACCATAAAACAAAAAGTGCCACCAGTTAGAGATGAGTAAATACATCTGTGGGGAGGAGGTGGTAAGGAAGTGTCACTTTCACACTGAGTGTGGCAGGAAGGTACTGTTACATGATGGTTCAGCAACATCAAGATGACCATAAGTAGCAACTCATCAAGGGCCAGGTTGGCTCTATATAACAACACAGTAATGCTGAAGGCCCACAAAAATCTGGCACCAGCTCTGGCCCAAGATATTTCTATCATGTGTCTCAATTAAAAGAAGTTACAGTTGGCCCTCTGCATCCACGGATTCTTTATCCACAGATTCAGCCATCCATAG